TTTAAACATAATCAGAAGATTTAGATACTGTGATCATCAGTGGAAATGTTTTATGTGGATCACATGTGTCACTAGGAAAGGGTTCATCCCTGTGTCTGACATTCATCCACAGTTTAAGTCATATTAGCTCATCAGTTCTAGTCATTATGCCAGAATTCAACTTCCTGTCTTTGGAGCCGAGTGACCAAACTGAAATTTTACACAAAGTATTATCAAAGTAAAATTATAGTCAGATCCATAACTGTATGTTTACGATCGCACAGTGAAGACAGCAGAAAAATAAATAGCCTATTTAGTATTTGCATATGTACAATCATGTAGCGTTTACAGAGTCTGTAGTTTGGTCAATAGCAAACACGCTGCATGATAATCATGTTTGAGCACGCTTTGCTTGCATGCAGGTAAACAGTCAGTGTGGAGAACAAAAAAGAAATCGCACTTTCCAAAATGTATTCTCTGTGTTTTTCTGCACTTGTAAACACTGACAGGCAGGAGGAAATCAAAATCGCGGCGTGGATCACCACTGGTTACACATCAAGCCAGCAGTCTAACTTATGAGTTGCCATATTGGTATTTGTTTGACTCTTCATTTAAACATTGTTAAGTTTTAAAAAATGTTTATTTAATCACCATGTCCAGGCTGAGATACAACCGTTAACAAACTCCTTGTAATTTTACCTTCAGACCTAAACTACAGGCATCACTTTCAATGTCCCTTAGGTGAATTTAATCCAGTAATAACTATCCAAGCAGCTATTTATACATACAGTAACGTCACACATCTCCTGTGCAGATGTCCTGAGGTATTAAGAGAAACAAAAGCAAAAAAACTTTGGATGGTTGAGGAAAACTGGGTCGAAGAAAACAGGATGATAAAACACAGTCTCTCTTGGAAGAAACACTTTAAATATATTAAAACCTACAGACTTATGATATATGCCAATACTTTACCCAAAATTCCCACTGAAATGAGTGTGGTTCCTGTGTCCAAAGAAATATGCACATCCCTTCCTGCTGAGCAAAGAGGGCCAATTTCTGGAATGAAGCCTGTCCCTTGTCCACTGCCCTTGCAGTGATTTGATGTGACTGGATGGAGTTCAGAGGGAAGGGTAATATCTGAGAGCCCAACAGAGACAGACCAGAGCTGATGTTTCTGAATCACTGGGTCAGTGGGTCACAGACATCACTGGACATCTAGAGAGCCAACAACTCTCTGTGGTTTTTTTTTTCAGAGCTCCCGAGGAATCGCTCATGATTGCCAAATGCAGCTGTTGAGAACCGCGACTGGCTCAGCAACACACAAACACGCAAACTCAGACACATACGCAGACTCACAGTGTGCTGATACAGGAGTAAGCCCCTCTGAGAGTTGTACACACAGAGCACAGACCCTCTGATACAGAGGAGCACCTAGAGACTGAGGCCGTGTTTAAACTCCATTACCGCCAACGACTCTCTAATTAAACCAATGTTTTAATTAGGATTTGGACAACCAGGAACGAGGAGGGATAATAACGTTCATTTATCCAACAGAGAGGGTGTATTTCACACAAGTTACACCTACAATATGCAGGGTGGACAGCTTTGTATTTGATCTGCCATTTTAAGCAGTGCATTGCTAAGTGTGACGCAGGCGTCAACATTTATTGGTTTTATAGGAACACAATAGAAGCAAAGTAGACTATTAGAAGTCTGCGATATGAAATCTTACTTATGTAAATGTTCAAAAGTTTACTTAACAAGATGCAGTTAAAGTATGTTAGAAACTGCATGACCACAAATAGATTAATCAGCTTTCAAATGTCATTTTTCAGTACAGTTAACTACAAGTTAAGATTGCAGATTGATGCAGTGGTGTTGTTTCCTCTCTAGTATCCTTCAGAATTTGACCAAAATACAATCACTGATTAAATTTCCTCTGTTGCTCTCCAGCACTGGTTTGCATTCTAGTGATTTGAGAGTAAAACCTGCAGGGGGCTGATAGAAGCTCTCAGCTAAACAAGGAGGTAATGGTTTTGATTGAGGCATAGTAGACTGACCAGGTCTGAAATGCAGAATAACAAAATTTTAATGACAGCTTAACGGGTTCAGCCAAGAGTCAAACTTGGGAGAAAAATCTTTTATTTACTCCAGTCTGCTTCACCATGAACACTTAAAGGCTTTAAAAAAAGGAGGAATATGTTGGTTTGTTGAATGTGTTGCCATGAATGCCAAATGAAGGTAATTACATTTTAAGGTCGTTGTGTAGTAGCTCTTGTTGTGGCCACTAAGTGAGCTGCAGTCAGCATCCTGTTGCTTGCACTAATGCTAGGTATGTAGGCCTGGACTAACATACTAGGCAAAGCAGTGATAATGCATAACAATGAACAGAACCGACTGAAGTCATGTTGATAAGTTACTAAAGGTACATTGTTACTGTAGTCCGACTGTATATGTAAGACAAGAAGCACTCAGCTGGAAAACTTCACCATTGCAGCTCACTCTCTCGGCAATATTTACTTTTAAAGGAATTGTAACGTGTTTTTTATATATTAATTTTGTTTTTTTTAATCTTTTTAAACATACTTTAAGAAGTTTGGAGTGCAATAAAAATCACATGAGGATTGCATGACAGATATTTACTTTTATAACGCAAACATTATGCAGGAGTAGTGGATGGGTAATAGCAGTAGAAGTAGGCAGCTCTTTCTCCTGATGATCTCTTTAAAGATGTAACACATTCTGGGGTCAGCTTGAAAGAAAGGCAGCTGTGAAATGTAAAAGTGAGGTCACAGGTAAAATATGACATGATATTTACATGCAAACAATAAAGTTATATTTAGAATCCACATGTACCTGTATCACTTCCTAAATGCTGTCAATACTAACAAAGGCGGTAGAATTTTAAACATAGTTTTAAAAATGTTTGACCTTATTTGACCTTGAAGAAGAGGTCAGAGGTCCAAAGCAAGTGATGTGACTACATGCCAGTAAGAAACACTTTTAAATAACTCTATAAAGCATTGTTATCACTTTGACCTTCAGCACAATCTATTGACCTTGAAGGAGAGGTCAGAGGTTAAATGTGATATGATAGTTTAAATCTTTATAAGGTACTTTCTATATGTTTGCAACACACACCACACTTTTAAGAACCATGGTTTCTCAGTTATGACGCTTTTTGTTTATTTATGACCAACAAATCATTAAGTTGAACTTGAACACCTCAATGGATGTAAACCAAATTTTAATGGATCGTTAACATGACCTCACTCTACACCCCTACAAAGTTTAATCAGGATGAGTTCAAAGCTTTTTGAGATATCGTGTTTACAGCCTTAATGACACAGAGGTAAGTATATGCTGTGGCTGAGCAGTATTTTTCTCAACCATACTAACTTCCGGTAATAAAGGTGAAGAGCCACCTTCACCTTTATTGTACAGGCTTGGGTACAAAAATCAAGAACTTTCTGTTTCTCTTCGTATCATTAATGGGGCTAATATTTACTATATATATTTCCTTTTTTAGTGCACTATTTGTCTTATGCGTGAATATCCATGTGGATTGAAAATGTTACTAACCGTGATTCACCCCAATGAGAACAGCTGGCTTGGTCACATCTCTTTGCAAGATTTCAATGTTATGGTGTCTGACACACGTCTAAGGCGTCCTTCATTAAGGGCAACGCCTTAATGAGTTTAGTTAGCCTACATAAGTGGAGCGCGCCCTGTTAGATTCAAGTGAAATGGCAGCACGGACTCAGAGATATGCTGTTATTCTCCTTGATATTTATTCAAATCCGTCCTTTAATTAATTAATACATCACCAAACATAAAGAAAGTACAGAATATGTAAAAAAAATATATATACGTATTTATAAATATATTCCTAAAACAATTTTCAATTCAATTTCTTGGTTACAAACAGCCATTAAACCCTCTGTTTATATCATTTTTTATATATAAATTATTGACTCTCCTCACTGGTGTAATTAAAGATTATTTAGACTGCCACTCATCAGTGCTGCATCACTAACATCGTGTAGTTATGTCTGACTGTGAGAGGCGATTGGTTGACTAACATAAATGGTTTTATAAAACTGTTATACATATGTTATAAAACATTGCCATCTGTTTGTCTTTGTAAAAGTGGAATCACAAGCTTTTGTGTGTTTGTTTTTTGTGTGGTGTGTATTGGAATCCACTGTGCAGTGAGCCTCTATTTGTTGACATTAGCAGATTGTATTTCTAAGGTGATTCTCACCAGTTTTACGCACTGCTGGTGCTGAGGAGCAGAAAAGGATGAGACTTAAAGGTGATTGGATTTTCCTGGAAAATCTATCCAGATTCATCGAGATTGAAAAGGCTGAGAGGAATTCAGGGAAATGTCCAGATTTTTATGTGACATTAAAATCTGTTCACACATTTGCCAATAAGTGCTTAGTGGATAAAGATTGCTGTGTATTTTTAGGTACAAAACCTTTATTTGATTTATAAAGTATACATGCATTTTTTAAATTGGGGGCATTGGGGTGATGCCGAAAATAGTAAACGTATTCATTTATTTATTTTAGGCAATAATTCAGAACTGACAGCCTTTCCCAATAGCACTCAACCTTTCTAAGAATACTGATAATGGATGCTGATAAATGGGTTGTATCGAGTCCCTCATGATGACACACGTCATGGGTGTTTACTGTTTTTCTTATATATATTTGCTGTATGTATTTATTATAATTCAGGTGTGACACTTGTGGTTTCATCTGAGTTATTGGTTTTCTTTTGGAGGTGGGTCTTACTACTACTTTTATAAATAAAGTGTAAAAATGATTTGTTAATGTAGGCACACAAGAGAAAAATATCTCCCTTATTAGTTTTTAACCATGTCTTCATGAACATTTTGTGGAAGCAGTTTTGTCACTGAATGTAATTAAGAATAAATATTAATGCTTCTTTCTCTTCTCCCCCCTCTTCCCTCTCTCTGTGTCCCTCTCTGTCTCTCTTGTTCAACGCGTTCTCAGCGTCAGATGGCGTGCCAGTCCAAAAGGATGGGGAACAAGTAAGTCTTCAGTGATTCCTCCTGCTCATCCGTGTTGTTGACTTCCTCTGACAGTGAACTGTTTTCCACTCCACCTGAGGAACCAACATGGCCACACGATGAGCTGTAACACCAGTGCTTATGCTAGTAGATTAGCGAAGTAGATCACGCCATGGCAATGTCAGTCGCTCCCGCTACACTTCCCTCGCCAAGATGGGGTGGTGTGGCTGGATGACTGAATAATCGCTGGTTTGGTTGGCTTATTGCTGTTGCTAGGATGTCTGAAGCTTGTTATAGCTGTCTGACAGAGTCACTCCTCAGTGCTGGTTCAAAGCAGAACGGCAGAGGCATCACTCCTCTCTTTCTCCAACTTCCTACACATCATTATCACTGTACATTTTCCTCTCCTCTCCTCTCCCGCTGCATTACTGATCTCATGCTCTAAAACTGATGCCTCTGAGAAAGGACACAGGAGCAGGATCCATTTTGGACTAAAATGTAGAGACCTTCACTTTTCCACCAAATGCACTGTGGACTGATTGCATCATTTATTTATGCGTCGTGCCCCAGAATGCCCCCGTGGTTCTGCAGAGAGGGGAAAAAGACACGCACACACACACAAACACTTTCAATACATATATATCAGTGTTGTCAGGGCTATTGGAAAAGAACATAGGGAAAGCTGCTCCAGGCAGCCCAGCTCTCTCCTCACACCCACTCCTGTGAATGGAGAGAGAGACAGGAACGACCAGAGAGCGAGTGATGGAGGAAGTGGGAGCAAAGAATAGAATTACATGAGGGAAGGAAGAGGCAGACATTGATTAACATAAAGCATCTAGATGTAGCTGAAGGAGATTATAAACACTCCCTTCTCATCACACTCTCATTATTATATTATCTTAACCTAGAATTGAATTACATAATCTTTACATTTTACTCTATTGACCACTGAAGATAATTAACAAAGTTTTGCAGTTTTTCGATAAAGTGCTTGACGTGTAGAGAATAAAGCACTAGAACGTGACTAGCAGAGCAGTCAGTAAGACTAACAAAGAACTGTGTTTACATTGAACTTTAATTCATTTCTATAATTATTTAACATTACACTGTTATTTTTAATGTAGCTAAAAATTCTAATTCTAATTTATTTACTTCGAGTTGAGCATATTTTACGTTGTATTATTACTTTTTTAAAAATTTGATGTGTTGCAGTATGTGAAAATAGATGCTGAGAATACAATGAGGAGACATTACTATAAGCTAAATATATAGTAAAGTGTTTTCTCTGGGACCTATACCTGCAATTACAAAAACATGCAGAAATGTACTAAATTTCCATGAAAGTCACTTTAATTTTTTTTTATTACTGAAAGAATAACAAGCATATTATGTTTGGAAGTGCATGGAGTTTTTTTCACATCACAAAACTGGTGCTGCATCTTTACCTCATATAATTAGTAAGCCTGCATGGGTGCAGACTCAGTATTGAGGGAAGTCTTTATTCTACTTTTACTTAAGGATAGTTGGTTTGGAACAGGACTAAATGTGGCAGATCCTTCGCATGAATTTGCAAACAGCATGACGGTGTAAGGGCCGGACTGGAATGACTTTCCCGAGTTTTAATTCCTGATTAAATGGAGGTTTAAGAGAAACACAAAGCTACAGGCAGCAGGTAGTTAAATAAAAACAACTAGTCTAAAACTGAAAATTCCACCTATCAGCACCAAATGTTGTTTGTTTAATCTGCATAAATGTGCAAAAAAAAAAAAGCTAATGACACAAATCTAGGAAAAGAGGGATTTGAAGACTAATTAAGCATTTAAATGTTAATTAGTGAGTTTAAGAGGTGCTTTTACATGTAGCCTGACTTTGTGCCAGGCTACATGTTCCCAGGTTTATGCAAACTAGCTGATGTATGTAATCACTGACGTGACGTTAGTGATGCCTTTACTGAAGTGAAGGATCTTCAGACTTGTGCCACCAGTGCAGCTTGCATTGCATTTATCCAGAAGAAAGTAGACCTGGAGCTTTCTGACAGTCTTGACTGTCTGTCTGCCGCTTGTGTACATCAACAGTAAAGGGGACAAAATATCAGCTCAGCCAGTAGCACACCAGTGTTCCCAGTGCGGTTAGTATCAGTCCAGCTGATAGAGAGAGTGTTTATCTGCTTTGTTCTCAGCGTCTGCCTTCACCACACGCACACATAAACACATAATGTCCCCTTCCTCCTGAAAGCCTCAGTCCCCTGTCTGTGTGCAGGATCAGATACAGTTCAACACACTATTGATATCTCGCTCTCGCAAACACACACAGTTTTCTGCTGGCTTTCAATGTTTCTGGCAGCACATGTAACCGAAGAGGAAATTCATTCATCCGTAGCGTATTCAGTTTGCTTTACACAACTAAGCAAATATAAACTGATCCCTGTTTAATCCCCTCCCTTCTCCCTGTCATTCTGGCTCTTCACTTTCCTTGTTCCTGGAAAATCCTGTGTGTCTGCCTCTTATTTTCCCCCCCCTTCTCCTAATTTCTTCCTCCGCATGCTTGATGTGCAATCAACCCCTCCGTCCTCCCCCCACTCCCCCACTCCCCCAACCCCGATGCATGTCAATGTCCTCTCTGTCCTGTCACTCTCTTACTCTTTCCTGCTCCTCCTTTCCCCATCCCTCTCTCCTCCTATTTCTCTTCCTCAGCATGGACGTTCAGAATTTTCATGGGAAGGAATCAATGTAAGTGTTGTGGCATCATTCCTTCATCTACTACTTTTCTCTCCCTATCTATTTGTTGCTTTTGCGCGTTTTGATTTATGACACCCCCACCTCCTGAGCCGTATAGTCCGTCTTGCGGTTTATTATACTGGTGTGAGCACAATCAGAAACCCTAGATTTATATGATATTTATTTTGTAGAATATCTCTTGAATCAAGATTTGGGAAATGCAAATTCTGTCTCTTGTATTAACCCAACACCTCCATCACTTGTCCTCTCCACTCACCCCTCTGACACACACACTGTCATGTCACACTGTCTCTGTGTGGCCTCTCACACCATCCATGCTGTCCTTTTCTCCACACTTTCCTCCTCCATTCCTCTCTCTTCTCTCCTTCTAGCTGTCTATGGAAGACACCACATCAATCCTGCCCCGGCTCAAGAGGAACTCAAACGCCTATGGCATCGGGGCTCTGGCTAAGTCTTCTCTGTCAGGTGTGTCAGGTGTGTGTCTGTGCTGTAACTGGTAAACGACCCCATGCTGGCTCTGTCCTCAGACGGGCCCTGGAGTCAGCATGGTACCCTAAATGGGTTCCCCTGTATCACTTCCTCTCCACGCTGTGATATCAGTCGTCAATGACTCCTCGTGAGTCATTGACGGAACAAATTCAGCTTCAAAAACAACACACACATACACACACACACACACACACAAACACAGCTTGTTGCTCTAAGGAAAGGTGAGTGGGAAGTGTAGTTTTTTTATGTTAAGTGGTTGTGAAATTGTGCTGTTCTGAGCAAGTATTAGTATGGATGTTTTGACTGTGCAAAGTGCCGTGTCGAACAGAGTTAGTGTAGTGAAGTGCTTTCTTTTAGTGCAGCGTTTTTTGGTTTCATCCAGCTGTTTTGTGTAGTGCAGTTTATTTGAGTGCAGTGAATTGTACTGCAGTACAGTGTAATGAAGTCCAGCTGCTATACCGTGTGCTGTGGTACGGATTTGTCCTATAATTTATTCATGAATCCCATCGTCATGTGCTACCATCAGAGAGAATCAGGCAGCCAGGGATTTACAGTACATGTTAGTCGCGTGGAAATATGGAGCAGAGCTGTTAAACAGATAAGAGTCTGTAGTGGCATGGCACCAGGAAATTAAATGTATGTTCAGCAGCTTTGAGTTTTCCGAAGCGCAATAAAGAGAAAGAGAGGAGTTTTTTGTTTACCCGGCGCAGCTTAGCAGAGGTGTGAAGAAGCTATCATGTCAACAAGCCAACCTCTCATTATTCATGCCACACAGCCGCCTCACCCCAATTAACCTGCTCCATCCCATGATGCACCTTTGTCAGACAAGACACGTCTCCTGCCGTCTCCCCTCCATGTGATGTTAACAGTCTCATTAAACACGCGAATGTCACCTCCACAACCCTTTTTCATTTCTCTGAGCTTATAATGGGTGCTCATGAAAACCCTCTTTTAACTACAGACTTTTGAATAGTTGGATTTGGCTGATAATGTTTTCCTTACGAGCAGTTATTAATTTAAGATATTCAATATTTTAATAAAATGAGCAGTCTCAAACATTCCAGAGGCGTTTGGGTATTTTGTTTACTTCTTAAAGGCGGGCCTATTGTGGTTATCCTTGTTTATTTCTCTAAAGATAAATGTATAGATTGATATTCACTAGCAAGGACTAAAGCCCCAGATGCGAATGAAAATGTTTGTTAATAACGAAGCAACGAGCTATGCCACAGGCTCGCTGAGGCGGTGGCTCCCCTGATACCTTTGAGAGAGGCTTACAAGCAGAGAAAAAGTGATGATGGGCCAAATAGGCACTTATAGAAATACGGCTGGAAAAGGAACTGTTGTGGGTGTGGTCCTGCTCCTGAACTTTAGATAAATAATCTTGAATAGGCTTATACACTGGTACAGTTCTGGATGCTAATATTAAATATGGTTAAAGTTTTAAATAATGAGGTCAGCGTGTGTGAAAGTAATCCCAGCAGGCCAAAAGCTCAGGCTTCACATCGCTCACTTTCAGACTACTTCAGACACGTCAGTGAATGCGGATATCCTTAATGTGGTTATCTCAGGCACACAGCTCTGGCTGTGAGCACATGAGCTCCACCACCTGCTGTTCAAACCTTTTGTTTGCAAAGGGCAGCCAATCAAAAGAAAGCTGGCTCACAGGTAAGGTGGATTTCAGGGGAGACAAAGTGAAACTGTATGTGATGAACAGAGAGGCTAAACCAAGGCACAGTGTAAGATGAGAGAGTTTTATTTTGATCCCGAGTCATTTAAAGCCACTCCAGTGAAGTCCAAGAATTAAAACGTGAGTTAATAATGAGCCTAATAGGTCCTGTTTAACATCAAAACAAATATATATAATACATCAGGCGCTTTTGTTGTAAATGATCCTTAAAAATGGGAACGGTATGCTATACTTAAACTCGTTCTGGTTAATCATGTGAGGTAAAGTCAATTTCAGACACAACAACTCCAACACTGAAAGGTTTATTATTTATATGACAGTTGCTTTAATCAATTTATCAGTCGAACCGTGCCGGACATCCATATTTCCATGAGCCATCACATCATAGCGTCATACCCTCCTCCACCCAAAACCAGTGCACACTTGATAATAACGAATCTATCTTATGTCTCTTCCTTCCTCTTCTTTTGTTTTTTCCCCCATTTTGTTCCCCATCTGCCGGTTCATTCTCTACTCCTTCCCTCAACTCGGCTAATCACCTCTCTCTAAACCTCTGGTCTTTTAATTTCTCTTACTTCCACCCATTTTGTTTAAATTGGCCACCCTCCCTCCTCCTTCTGCTCCTTCCTTGTCTGGATCTTTCTCCTAAAACAGGTGTCACACGCACAATGAAGGAAAGAGTGACCAAGCCCACAGCCATGGCCCAGGGTCGTGTCGCTCACATGATTGAATGGCAAAACTGGGGCATGACGACGGTGGGTTCGGGGAGCGTCCTCCAGTCCCGCATCACTACCCAGGAGCGAGAAAAGGAGCGGCGGCTGGAGAACGACGCCTACAGTGACCTCAGTGATGGGGAGAAAGAGGCTCGCTTTGCAGCAGGTCGGTTGAGGACAAGAGTTTCACACCCTATTAACTGTCATCAGCCACTTGAGTGGTACTGCAGGTCTTAGTAACAATTATCCTGACTTGCCCTCTGAATTCTCACCTCAGGCATCCTGCAGCAGTTTGCAATCTCAGAGGCAACGCTCCTGGCGTGGTCGTCAATGGATGGTGAGACTCCGCAGTCAGGATCAAACCAGGGAAGCGTGGCTCACCTCAGTGAGGTCAACCAGGAGAGCATCACCAGTCGAGGTAAAGGACTACAAATATGTCTGAGGCTTAAAGTCCAGGAAACAGCTGTTGGTGAAACACAGCCACATCATTTATGAGTAAGAAAATGGAAGAGGTTGGAAAGTGGCAAATCAATTTTAAACAGAGTAGTTAGAGTATTGTGTTACAGCGTCTCGTCTCTCTAGACCAGAGATGTCAAACTCACTTTAGATTGTGGCCAACAGACAGCCCGCTCTGATCATAAGTTGCCTGGACAAGTGAAACTCCTCTTTCTGTAAGCGTAAGCAAGTTTGATAAAACAAACAATGCACTGCTTTCTTTACATGACAAGAAAGTGCTGCTTTGGCCATAAACTGCAAGAAATAATTTGGTAAATTTAGAGAAAATGTTCTGTTAGCTCGTTGCGCAAACTGTCCTATAATTATAAAACAGAAAAGTTTTGTTAATTGACTGAATGTCCTCTTTTTGTTTTCTTGGGCTTTTTTATTTTATTTTAATTTTTTATAATGAACCCACTGTAAAAGTCATAAATTTCTATAGTAGATGGCGTAAAAACAGGATCTTTCCTATTTACTTATTTACTTGTATATTTCAAACCAGTAGGAAAAGCTGTAAAACTTATGAAAACACAGAAGTCTGGAATTTATGCCAATCTTCCATTTTCCAGAACTGTCCAGTGGGCCAGATTGGAGACTTAAGCAGGCCACATCTGGCCCCCAGACCTTATTCTAAAGAGCTTGGAAAGAAAAGTGTCTGAACTTTAGATGGGGATGGACCATTAGCAGTCTATCTGCATCTTAAGGACAAAGGTCATTCCTTTGAGGATGCCAGTGTTCACATTTTGGACAGAGAAGACAATTTGGTTTGAAAGAGGAGTGAAAGAATCCATCTATGTCCACTGTGAACAGCCATCTTTGAACAGAGGTGGTGGTTTACTACACCAACTGTTTGCCATCTATAATCCAGTTTTGAGATCCCTTCCCAGATGCCTTAACGCCCACTCACATCCTGGGCCTTCTGACCTCAGGAAATTGCATGATAGGGCGGGGCCAGGTTTCGCAATGAGTTCACCCGATTGTGACCTACACTCATTTTCACACCTTGGCTCGTGTGATTAGGTAGAGGATCATTAGGGGGTCAATTGTCCCTCTTAGGGGGACACTCCAACGGGGCTTAAATCTGGGACTCTCCACCATTTGACCTTAGAACTGAAGAAGCTTCTCGGATCAGAGGCGAAATGACTTCAAGCAACTTAAAGAAGTCCAGATGCTCTTCTTTCCAAGCTCCTTAGACCACGATGACCTGGATGACTGAGAACCTTCACAGACCCCAGACTAGACTTGTAGTCAAGACCGCCTAAACCAAGACCAAGACAATACCAAGACCAGAGGTTATCGAGACCAAGACAAGACCAAGACAGACTGAGTCAAGACCAAGACAAAGTCGAGACGAGACCAAGACCAAGACAAAAAAGTCTTTAAACTGCAGCCAGATGCTGCTTCGTTTACGGGTGTCAGGCATATTTATGTGTCTTTGCGATGCACTCGCACAGCCCTCCTCACCGCTGTCTACTGTCTCACTCACTCACTGAGAGGACAGACGCACGCTCCACTTGACTGTCGCGTCTCTCACCCTCTCTGTTTTTCACATAATGATATTATCCTATATCCTCGCATGTGATTGGCCACAATATGGAGGGATTGGAGCATAGCTGAGCCACTGTGTGAGAGCTGAGCAGCTAAAGGAAATTAAGTGAGGAGCTGGCTCTCGCTCAATGGGAGTCTTCTGATTCACTACAAAGCACTCTCTAACTCTCTAAGCACGGCTCTTAGAGCTGATGCTTTTGCGAATGACACATTATCGAACATTACCTTGTGTGTCATGGATACTGTTGAGTCCAAATCTCCTGACCTCTATGCCAATCTGAGACAGCAAGACCGAGACAGCGAGACCAAGACAAGACCGAGGGATCAGGACCAAGACAAGACCAAAACCAAGACCAAAGTCTGTCGAGACCAAGACAAGACCCAGACCACGTAAAAGTAGTCTCGAGACATCCAACTCTACCTCAGACCTTATGTTTGACATCTCTGCTCTAGACTTTAGGCCATTTCAGTTTTCAGCATGAACTTTTGGAAGGTAAACCCAGACACTGTATCGATATAAACAGTGATTTTGGATATTTGCAATTTACTGCAATGTTGCCTTAGCACAGACTTCTGAATGCAGAAAATTAGAGTAAGTGCTTTGCTGAGTTAAAATAGACTTTCTTAACTGCACCCTGAATGCATTCGTCTTAACTGATCCCATCGTTTTGAAGTCAGACACTTGGCAAAATATGTGGCTGTGAGCCCACTTTATAGCCCTCCAACTTTGAGTAAGAAACACTGGAGGCAATCAAAGCTCTGTCTGCACTATACAGTTTGACAAAATGATGACTCAACAGTGCGAGGTGTGCCAGTGTTCAACTCTGTTCGGTTCATACTGGAGAGTTTCTGTCATAACATTTTCACCCAGTGTGGAAAGATTTCAGCTGAGTTTTTTTCAGAGTAGTTAACAGCCAGATCTACATTTATCTCAACGGCTATTAGCTTTAACTGTTGGTCATTAAAAGTCGTAATTTCAAGATTTTAAGAAATTGCTCATTCTTTTTCCAATTCCAGCAAATTTGAAAAGTGGGATTTTTGTAAAAATCATAAAACACAGTGTTCCTGCGTCCATCTGCTGCCCCCATTTTGAAGACTGCTAACAGCTGCCACATTTTTTTATTTCCTGCAGATCAGATATTGCACCACTCCTCAGCGGAGGTGTGGCCTCACACATACGTCTCCCAGGGCCACTACTGCCTCTCCTCTTCTGACGCTTGGGAGCCCATCAACAACGATCCCTCCGTTGTGGCGTCTCCCCCTGCTGGCTCCTACGTTATGGGTACGGAGGGCTACGATGGGCAGGCCGCAGCTCACTTCCTGTCTCAGCAACAGCAGCAGCAGTTCACTCTCCAGCAGAGTCAACTACAACAGCTGCAGCAGATCCAACAGTTTCAGCACTACCACCAACAGCAGCTTCTGCAGTATCAGCAACAGCAGGTGATTGATTGAGAGTGCCGCCGTCTGGGTTTTAATCCAAATGAGACACTACATGTTGCTGCTAATGCGTAAGGCTTGAGTATCAGAGATGGTTGTTATAAAATACTGTCTGGTAAAATAAATTTATCAACACATTATTTTATTTATTTGTTCACTTTTGTATAGGCACAAGTACAGCACATGAACAAACCCACACATCACAGCATTTATAGACTAAAAAAGCTGGGCTTTTATTCAGAACATGTTCTCAGAAACTCTTACCTCCTGGGTTTCATGCTCAGTCTGAAATTCGCTCTTGACTGTGGAAATAGAAATTCAACAAAATAATCTTAACTCGACATTTTTCTATCGAATCATCTCCTTTTATTCGTTTTTGTTTTTGCATTACTTCATAGAAAAGATTTTAGCCTAAGCAATGACTCAACCGCATCTGATGTGAACGCTGACACACCTCACACTGTTGAGTCATCACTCTTGTCAAGAATCCCTCATTAAATGCTCAGCTGAACCTGCAAAAATATGACATTCTTCCAAAGGGACACATCCAAATCATTTTTTAAACAAAAATAAAAATAATTCCATGCATGAGGATGGAATTTCTTATACTGTACAAAAAGATCTGCATATCACCTCTGTTGCCTAAGGAAAACAAAGTCAGCTTACTGCATACTGACATGGGGAGCATGTCATGAAACATTCAAGCTGGCAAACAGGTCGCACTGCTCATTCCTCACATTTTACTGATTAGTCTTTTCTGTGTGTTTCAAGTCTCTGGAGCACAGGCTACACAGTGCCAACCACTCTTTGCAAGCAACACCCAACAGCACCATCCACAGTCTGGTTCATCAAATTCACCCTCCGCTGGTTGATCTGTGGAACACGGGGCAGATGGAAACCTATCAGGCAGAAGCCGGCGGGTACATGGGTGTGGCGGCGACAGTGGAGCCAAGCCTGTGCGTTCCCACTGGTGAAGAGATAGTAGGAACGGAACACTCCCCGCTACTGGAACAGCAGGAGGAGGAGGAGG